TAAAAATTCTTCACTTCGTTCAAAATTTTTTCTTTATCTTGGGTACTCCAATCAGCTGGAAAATCTCTTAAAGTAAGAAAATCGATATTTTTATCATACCAAGGCATTGGATTAAGAGAAAGTAAGGATTCATTAGGAAAGTAATCATCGATTGGTGTGATGTCAAATGTCGAATTTGTTGTCACTTTTGATAAAAGATCCGCATCAACAATTTTGATGCGTTTTTCATCCTTTTTATGTGTTTTTCATCCGTGATTTCTTCCTTAGAATAAATCATTTGCAATGTTTCATCCGTGATTTCTTCCTCAGAATAAACCATTTGCAAATCTTCAGATTCATCCAACTCATTTTTACTTAAAGTAGATTCAAGTTGATCATAAACTAATTCATCAATATGATCTACTTCTTGTAAATCATTATCTTCTCCAGGTTGCTTGCAAATGTTGAAAATATTCATCTCCAATGTTATGTTTCCAAATGATAGTTTCATCAGTCCATTCCTACAATTAATTAATGCGTTAGAAGTTGCAAGAAATGGACGTTCTAAAATAACAAGAAATGAATTACATGCTTCAACAGGTTGTGTGTCCAAGATAATAAAATCCACAGGATAAATGAATTTATCGACTTGTACTAACACATCTTCAATTATTCCTCTAGGCACTTTTACAGATCTATCAGCAAGTAAAAGAGATATAGAAGTTGGTTTTAACTCACCTAGATTGAGACTTTGAAAAACTGAATATGGAAGTAAATTCACACTAGCTCCAAGATCAAGTAAAGCTCTTTCAATTTTATGTTCTCCAATAAAGCAAGAAATTGTAGGATAACCAGGGTCTTTATATTTCAAAGCATTATTGTTCTGAAGAATATCACTTACTTGTTCGGCTAAAAAGGCTTTCTTTTTCACATTAAGTTTCCTCTTCACAGTGCATAGATCTTTTAAAAATTTAGCATAGGAAGGAACCTGTTTAATAGCATCCAGCAAAGGTATATTGATTCTTACCTGTGTGAAAGTTTCAAAAATTTTAGAGTTGTGATTGACTTTCCTTTGTTTGGTCATGGCTTGAGGAAATGGAAGTGCTGACGGAGAATCAATCTTTTCTTTGCAATTTTCAGATTCAACCCCTTCATTACCCTCAGAGATTGACTCATCATCTTTCTCATAAGGTTCAAGAGAGGGTTTTTCAATAACTTTACCACTGCGCAGAGTAGTGACTGATTTGACTTGATCTATGTGTTGGCTTGCGGAACTACTTGCATTTGCATTGTATTGCCCCTTGAGATTTTGTTGTGGTTGAGATGGAAATTTAACTTTCTCTTAGAAACTGAGAGCAAATGTTAATTTTGCAAAAGTATCTTTAAAATCAATCATGTTTTGAGCAAGTTGAGTATTGATTGTCTCTTGCTTTTCAATGAATGCATGCAATGTTTCCTCAAGATTTCTTCTAGGAGGTGGAGCATAAGGAGGTGCATATCCATAAGAATTTTGGAAATTGTGGTGTGCTTGAAACGGTGGTTGTGAAGTTTGTGCATTGTTGTTCTCACTCTTCCAACTGAAATTTAGGTGATTTCTCCAACCGGGGTTGTATGTTTGGGAGTATGGGTTGTGGTTAGCCCTTTGGAAATTGCTTAAAGCATGGGCTTGTTCATGGAGACATTCCTTAAAAGAAGGTAAGGTTGGACAGTCACTAGTTGAGTGTTCATTTGTTTCACAGATTTGACACACAATGTTTTCAACAGATTTTAATTGACCACTCTTTTTCAATTCCAGTGCCTCGACTTCTCTAGCTAAAGATGCAAACTTGGCTTGAAGGTCACGATCTTCCCTAAGGTTGTACATGCCTCCACTAGATGTGTGAGGTTGAGTTTTACTCGGTGCCTCATAAGTACCCGCAGTGTCCCAATTTTGAGCATTTTTAGCTAACAAGTCTAAGCACTCCATTGCTTCATCCTGGTCTTTATCTTCAAAAGTTCCATTGCACATCAATTCAACCATTTGCCTATCTCTAGGTGTTAACCCTTCATAAAAATGTGAAACCAATCTCCATGTTTCAAAACCATAATGAGGGCAAGTACTAAGCAAGTCTCGATACCTATCCCAACATTGGTAAAATGTTTCTCCTGGGTTTTGAGTGAAAGTGGTGATTTGTCTCTTGAAAGAGTTTGTTCTATGAGATGGGAAAAACTTCTTTAAAAATTATTGTTGCATTTCATCCCAAGCACGAATGAATCCTGGTCTTAAATTTTGTAGCCATGTTTTAGCTTTATCTTTTAATGAAAAAGGGAAAAGCTTTAATATGATGGTGTTCATGCTACAATTTAAATTATTATATGTGTTGCAAACCTCCTCAAATTCCCTTAAATGCAAGTATGGATTTTCCAATTCTAAGCCATGAAAAGAAGGTAAAAGTTGAATAATACCTGGTTTAAAATTAAAATGAGATGCATCAGGAGGAAAAACTATGCATGATGGTGCACTTGTTCTTGTGGGATTCATGTGGTCTCTAAGTGTTCTAGCACGGTTATTCTCATTATTTTCATTATGAAGTGATTGATTATCTTCTTCGGCCATATTTTCTGAAAATGATGAGGATACCCTACAAAGTCTACCACTTGATGTACGTGACCATACTCTCATGCACGTGTAGGAATAAAATAAAAAAAGAAGAAGAAAGCAAAAGAAGGACTCAGTCGGTCTGGACCGTTACTTAGTGTTTTTATCATATCTGGAGTTATAAAACTAAAAGATATTATTCATACCTATAACCTTTATAAAGACATTAACTCCAAACTCCTAAGAGGTCAACAATAATTCTTTTGAGATTTCTATTCATAATTATCATAAAATATTTCTCTGAGTTTCTTACCATTTTCAGTCCCAATAATGTGATTATGCATGGGAATTATATTGAAATTCGACGTTTCTCATGCAAAGGGTCATACATTGATTTATTTGACACTTCTTTCTATTTTACATATAATATCACCCAATTTACAAAATTTTCTCATTCAAATTATTATTTTTACCTAATCAGGGAGTTTTCATAATTTATCGTTAATTAATATTTCATATACTATTTTATTACTTTAGCTTCTCTAAATTTTAAATTAATCTCCTGGAAATGTTCATCCTAATTTATAAGATTTTCTTTTTAATTTATCATTTTTCAATTAATAGCTACTCTATTTAACTTAGATTTATTTATTTTTGATTGAAGGTTTACAGGATAAATGTAATCTTCTTAGTGCTATATGCACCAATCTTCAAGGGATGATTGTGATCTTCCTAATGCTATATGCATTAATCTTCAAGGGATGAATGTGATATCCTTAATGCTATATGCACCACTCTCTAAGAAATAAACTTGATCTTCCTAGTATATATAACAATATCATCTAATCACCAATCTTTAATAAAAGAATTCTCATGCCTCGTCAAAAAATAATAATAAAAATTTAAAATTAATAATTATAATAACCACTTTTTAGTGAAGGGCTCTTAGGTCTTATGATAATGGTAGAAAAGTTACAGGCTCCCACTCTCCAAAAAACCTATAATTACTTAGAAACTTTTGAGTATAGGTTTACCCTATTCAGGTTCCACACAATCACTTAGGAATTTGTATAAATGATGGGTATGGTATCCAAATCTCTTAGAATTTTTCTAAGTGCATATTCTTGGCATTTTACATCTGAAATAATATCTTTTAGTATAAATGCATATTGTTTCTCTCTCTTGTTTTTTTTTACTTACAATCCCTTTTTATAAGAGTAAAACTTATCTCTCTACCCGAACTGAGAATTAATTAAAGTCTTTGCATATTGTTTTATCTCAAAGACTAAGTGTCTAATGATGAACCAAGATTTTATTAATATATCTTTACCAAAAAAATATCGGATCAAGAAAAACTTATGGTTATAAATTTTTTGGAACATAAACACACCTCAATGAAAACGTATTGGGTCTGATACTAATTAGACTCAGCTACGATTGAGCTTGGTAATGCGCCAATCCCGAAAACATAGATAAACTTGACAGCACGTCAAGCCCTAAATGTTGGGGGCTTAGCCTTAGGCATTGAGTTCAACGCTGGTTAGACCTAGCCTTAGATGGGCTTGGCAGCGCACCAAGTCTTGGGAATTAGATTTGACATTGGTTGGATCCGGCCACAGATGGAATTGACATGACACTAAGTCTGACACTCACCACCAGCCATGATTGGACTTGATAGTGCGCCAAGCCCCAAACATTGGGCCTAATATTGGCTAACCCAAGCCGTGATGGCTTGGCATTGTGCCTAGCCTAGACATATTGGGTCTACTGCTTGCTAGATTTAAGAGATGATTGGGTTTAACACCATCAATTCTATAAATTTATATATAAAATCATAGATGAATTACTTCTCAACAAATAGGCTTAATTAATCAACTCTATACTCCACCAAGACCATTAAATGTATTAAAGTCTTTCATGGTCAATCATTTCTCTATATTTTAGCTAGATAAAATGAGTGGAATAAAAATTCACAATGCAACTCAAAATATCACAATGATGAAGTTATACTCCAACCCCTTTTCTCCACAAAGGACATAAGTTATAGGCTATAAATACACCATGATATCTTTAGAACAAATGTTTATAATCTTTATTTTTTATTGGACATGTATTTTTATGAATTTCTTTCTAGAATATTATTATATTTTATCTCTCTAAAAAAATACCTATTTAAGCATCAGAGAGTCCACACCTTTACTAAAATAGACCTTTTACAAGCATTAACAACAAGCTATAAGTCATACATTATCTTGATATACTAAACACTAAGTATAAATTATTAATCACTTTAGATAAGGAATGAATAAACTTGTTAAAATTAATTGAATAACTGATTATTCAATTTGAGAATTCTATTTCTAAATTACTTGGATTTTTTAGGATATTATCTCTCCTCGAGCATGATTTAATGCTTCTTGAGATGCATATTAACTATGAACGATGACTGATAAATCTCAATATAAATCAATTGAATAGAGAACCGTCGCTGATAAAGGAAGGTAACATATCATTTGGCACCTAGAAAAAATAAAGCTTTCCGAAGCCAAGTGACTTGATAAAAGTATAAACAACTAACGCAGTAGTAATGACAAAGTATTTAAATCTCAATGAAGCTTGATTTCGTGTTCTAGACCGGACTGCTGATCTTTGACAGTCCCTTTTGCTTAAGAGCACCTGTGTTACTGGATGCACATGGACCCACCTTGAAGCACTTTCTTATGTTCAGAGGACTCTCTGATTTACCCTGATTTGCAATAACCGAGGTTTTAGCGGGCTTCCTCAGCTCAGAATTACAACTTTTCAAAGTCAAGGTTCTTTCATTCTTCCATTTGTTTCTCTTCCCAATTATCCCGTCATTGTCTGCAAGCAAATCCATGTAAAAACTACAAATCTGCAGTTGGAAAACTAGGTACACCTTGAAAGAAGTTCAATAGCGAGAAATATTTCAATTTAGAGGAATGATGTAAACAAGATACCAGGACTAGACCAGACTGCTCGAGGACGTAAAGCTGATTTGGCTCCAAGACTAAGTTTTCTATTCTCTCCAATACGTCTGTTGTCCTTCAATTTGCCTACAAGTAGTATTCTGTCAGTACTCATGGGCAACAATGTTTCTGCATCAAACACTGGCAGAACAGCACCATGTCTTAAATAATGTAAGAGAGAGTGAACCTTTGGATGCAGAACATGGCTGTGCTTTCAAGTTTCTGACGAAATAAGGCTTTGCAAATCTTGCCATTGAAGGTGAAGAATCACTTTGATTTTCTTCTTCTGCAAGAAGTTCAAGTAGATTTGAATTAACTCTGCAAGGCTGCAACCAACCACAAATATTTCATTTAGTTATACTATCTAGCGTCTAGCTAATACCTGAAGCGTGGGAACCACAACCTTCCACAGATAGAGATTCACTTTTAACCCTTAAAGAAGGCGTAGATACATGATCATTTGGGGGGGAGGATTCATCATCTTCTTCCTGTTTCCTCACCTTGATCTTTGGATACACTTGGAAATCCAAAAACAAAACATTCCACGTTAGGCAAAGCAGAATTTTTCACAAAGTTACGATGAATAGAACATAATTCTAGGACAATTAGAAGCCTACTTCTTTTGTGTAAATGTATGAACAATATTAGACTGCCCAATTTCAGTTTTCATCAACGGTAATGGAAATAAAAGAAAAGGCTTTTAAATGGTCACTTTGAGGCTGCGTTTTAAAATACGTCAGAATTGGAGTTCATGAGAAAGTAAAGAAAAGTAAACGCCAGCTTGGAAGACATCACCCTCACTGTTTGGACTTTGTTTTTTTTTTCGGATTCGAATTCAAATGTGATGTTTTTTCTGAAGTTGCCTCAAGGTTGGGGTTTGATTTTATTTAAAAGCAAGTAGTTGTTCACGAGGACCATGGCTAGACAACATTAATGCTTAGATAAGCTTGTGAAAAGTGAAATAGAAGCAAAGGGGTGCCAGAGGAAATGAAAATTAAAGTTTTTTTTGAATTATGTTTCCGTTGCTGCGAGGGAACACCCCCCCCTCCCCGCCCCCCGGGACCCTCCCCAAAACACCTGTGTTCCATAATATTTCTTTTGATGTTGGATCGTTTGAATTTGGGTTTATAATACAATCCACTGGCTAGCTTTGAACCCCTTGAATTTAGGTTTATAATACAATCCACTAGCTAGCTTTGAACCCCTTTTCTTTATATTTTTTTTGTTGCTTGAAAAAATAATCTTATCTTATATTCCTTTTAAGTTTAGAATGTGATTTTTTAAAATTGTTCAACTATGCATATAATGTAGTTTTTTTATAAAAAAATTATATTTTTTTTTAATATTAAAGCTTTTTAAGTATCGGTTTGTGTTTCTAATGAATCACAAACATGTGATAATTATTATTTATCTTGTTTTATATCAAAATAATTTATTTGGGTCTTAATTATGTTATCTTGATGTTTTTCTAAACTTGGAGGGTTGATCGAAGTATATAAAGTTGAATCAAACTATATATTGAGATCTTTTGGTAAAATGTAAATTAAGAATCTTTTAACTTGGCCTTTTGAAAAAATATGAAGTTATAAATCTCCTTTGTGAGTGGTAGACTTATTCCTTAACTTTGTATCTTTAAAGAGGTGAGTTTATTATTCGTTTCTGTATCCTTGTTGGATTTATATCTTAAAGTGGTGAGTGAAAATCATTATTTGTATGAGAAACCTGCAACTTTATGATTTCCATACCTTCATGGTAGTAAGTTGGTATCAAAGCTTTGGATTTACAACCATGGCTCTTTGTGAGTGTCATGTGCTAGAAGTCAAGAGGGACATTCGTGCTGTTAAAATGATGAAATGAGAAAGAAAATCTAGCAACTCTAAGAGTTTCTTAAACGATGTGAGAATTGAGACGATGATGATGATGATAAGAATAACATTGAAATTGGTTCCTCTATCAATAATGAAAAAGATGTTAATCCTTTCCATCATAAACCATGCCATAATGATAGTGACAATTCTTTTTCTTAACATAAAAAAAAAAGGAATATAAACCCTTATCTAAATTTTGATATGGGAGTTGATATTCCTAAAATTGAAAGGAAAATGCAATTTAAAGATTTCATTAATTGACTTCAAACTATTGAGAGGATTTTTTTTTATTTTAAAAGGTATCCTAATGATTAAAAAAAAAAGGAGAAAAGTTAAAGGCTTTTAAGCCCATAAAATATGCTTCTTTAAGTTGGGACAATCTTAAGAAGCAAAAGGCTCATGAGGGCAGAAGTAAGATCAAGTCTTGGGAGACGATGAAAATGGATATTAATAGGCGATCCTTATATGAACATTATCGACAAGTTACTGTTACCAATATAGACTAGTCGTAAAAGGGTATATAATGAAATTTGAATTGCTCATACTTAAATGCAATATTGTTGAACCTGAGGAGCAAATAATAACCCAATATTTTGGTGGATTAAAAAAAGAGTTTCTAATATGGTTCTATTGTAGCCTTATTAGACATTCAATGATGTTAGAAAACTCAACCTAAATGTGGTGAAGCAATAGAAAGAGGTTAAAAGGACTAGCTGGAAATCAAAATCTAAGAAGAGCTCTTCTATTAGGGGGTAATTCATTCTTAAAGAATAACAAAGTCTTTTATTTTTAAGGTTATGAAGAAGGGAAGTGTTGGGGTTGGTCCTAAAGTAGTTGGTTCCTCAAGTCCTAATTCAAAGAACTGTTTTAAGTGTTAATGACATGGATATATTGCTTCTAATTGTTCGAATCACAAAATTATTGTTATTATAAAGGAAGAGATAGCTAGCGAAGATAACTTACTAAATGAATCAAATCAAGAAGATGGAGTGTCTTATATTGATCAAGGTGAGTTACTTATCATTTCAAGAAGTTTGAGTGTTGTTCATGATGAGAGTGAAGATTGAGTTTGTTGCGACATTTTTTACACCTGTTGTAGTGCAAATTAAAAAGTTTGTGATGTGATTATTGATAGTTGTGCTTGAGCTAATATTGTATCTATTGATATGGTAAACAAGTTGTAGCTTAAAATAAAAGAACACCTTTAACCTTATAAATTGAGATGGCTAGAAAATAAACATGAACAAAAAATAATGAATATATGTCTTGTATCATTTTTTATTAAGAAAAAAGTATTCTAATTAGGTTTAGTATGATGTAATATATATGAATGCCTGTCATTTATTGTTTGGTCATCGATGACAATATGTAGAAAAGTTCAACATGATGGCTTTAAGAATACCTATTCTTTTTATAAAAGATGTTGTGAAGATTATATTAAGTCCTTTTAAATATGGACTTATTTTCAGATCTTCTAAAAGGGTGAAAACACTCATGGTTACTTGTTTTAAGATGGAAAACTTGTTAATAATGTTGAATTGGCTTATGCTATTGTTGTTTTTTAGAAAAATCCTTAAAAAAATTATTTACCCCATCAAGCTCAACATTTGCTTGATGAGTTATTTGATGTGATTCTTGAAGATATACCACATAGATTTCCTTTGATGAGAGATATTAAACATTGCATTAATTTCATTCGAGGTGTTTTGCTTCCAAACAAAGCATCCTATCGAACACGTCTTATCAAATATATAGAGTTATAAAGGCAGTATGATTTGGATGCCAATATAGATTAGATTTCCTAATCTACCTCTTCAGTGCTGGTCCCCACTTTGCCTCTCTAAACTAGCAAGCGTGATAGGGAAACCACTTCATTTGGATACTCTAACGTCTTCTATGACTCGGTTATCCTATGCCAGAGTGCTAGTTGAGACTGATTTGTTAGCTGATTTGTTAGCTGATTTGCCTGCAATGATTAACATCTCTCTGCCCAATGGTGCAACCATGACCCAGAAAGTGATATATGAATCGTTACCATACTTTTGCAAATAATGCAGAACCTTGGGGCACAACACCTCTTCCTGTGCCAACAATTCCAACCACAAACACAAAAAGTATGCTCAGCCAACTCCTACTCCTTCTGGGTGCTCTGATCCTTTAGCAAACATTAAAGCTGTTGAGAAACAACCTCTTTGGGAGGAGCCTTAAGGTGAGTCAAAGGTTGATCCAATGTCTGCAGAGGTCGCTGTGGCTAGGGAAGAGCACACAGGTCTTACTAATCGCAAGCAGGCCAAATTAGCTACACCTTCTGGTCCTATTGATGATCATCCTCCTGGTGCTCTTTCGGTTGTGCCTGAAGATGACACCACTGCTGACCTGCCTCCTATGAGGCAATATTTGACAAGGAGAAAAGCTGCAGCCACTTTTGGCCGCTCAGGGAAGGCCTCCTAGAAGTGTCATCCTTCCAACAGCTCCTCTTCAATTGAGACTATAGGCAACTCAGCCTTTGCTTCCTCATCCTCTTTATGATATTTCCCTGGTTTTGACTAAGGAACCTGTTCCTTATCCCTGTTTGGGTCTTTGCATGCTTTACTTTTATTGGCTTTATCTTTATATTGCTGCCTTTGTTAGCTTGTCTCTTGTGTGTTGCAGTTTTCCTGCCTGTCGCTATTCTGTTTTTTTCCAGCTTGTTAGACTGTTGGCCTCTTGGTCTGCTGTTGGGTTTTTCCTAGCTGCTCTTCTACTTTCTTGTAGTGCAGTTGCTTGGGTTTCTCCTTGCTGGTTTGTAGTTTTTTCTGTCGGATATTTTGCTTGATATTTTACTTGTTATGGCCTGCTAGTCAACAGTTGTTAGTTGCTGGCTGGCTATCAGCTGCAGTTTTGGCTTGTAGATTTTGAGGTGCGGAGGTGCTTTAAGTTTCTTGTGATGTGTTTCTGGGGAGGCTTGTTGTTTATCTGCTGGTTGAAATGGATCAAGTTGGCTTGTTGCCCATCTGCTGGGTTGGATAGTTCTCCTCATCTCTGTTGTGGTTGGCTTTTTGGGTTCTAAATAGCTGTATTTTGCTATGTTGGTCTGATGTATGTACTATTCTACTGTTTTAGGGAACCTGTTCCCTTTACTGATGTAGTCTTGCTGTTAGATTATTCAGGGAGCTTGTTCCCTTTGCTGATGTATGTTATGTAATACTAGTTTTCAGCCTGTTCTGCATGCTTGTCTTGCTGTTAGGTTGGTTTTTTATTTGTTCAAGGGAGCCTGTTCCTTTTTTTGATGTATGTATTGTACTGCTGGTTCCCAGCTTGTTTCGCAAGCTTGTCTTGCTATTTTTGATCTATAAAGGCAAGTCAATAAGTTGATTTTGAAGAACTTGGTAAAGAAAAGTAAAAGTCCATGTGTTGTGCCATCTGTTATTGTTCCAAAGAAGGGTGACTTGTGGAGAATATGTATTGATACTTAAATAGTAAATCAAATCACTATTGACTATCAATTTTTTATTTCTCGGCTAGAAGACTTACTATATCAGCTTTATGGTGCTACTATCTTTTCAAAGATTGATCTTAGAAATGACTACCATCATAACCAAATGAGAGTTGGTGATGAATAGGAAACAACCTTCAAAATAAGGGATGGACTTTTTGAATGGATGGTTATGCTATCTAGTCTTTATAATTCACCTATTGCTTTAATGTGGATGGCAAATGATATGTTTAAATCTTTTATTGGTAGATTTATTATTGTTTACTTTAATGATATTCTTACATATAATAAGGATAAAGAGAAGCATCTTAGTCACCTGCAAGCAATATTTCAGACTTTGAGGAGTTAAAAGTTCTACACTAATTTGAAAAAGTGTGAATTCTTCACTAATAACCTTGTTTTTTGGGTTTTTTGTTTTTTACCGAATGCATGAAGATGGATCCTAGAAAGATTAAAGCAATTCTTAGTTAGTCGTGTTCTCAAACTCTTCATGATATTCATAGTTTTTATGGCTTAATATCTTTTTTATTGGCATTTCATAAAAACTTTTAGCACTATTATTGTTCCAATCAT